TAAGATGAAACTGTTAACTCTCTTACAAGTTTGCTAATACTTTCCTTCACCCTTCTCTGACCAAAAGGGTGTTCTTGGGGAGAGGGCGAGGAAGCTTTAAAAAAAGAAAAAAAGAAAACAAATAAAAAATGGGTTTGTTGTAACTTTTCCAAACAATCCAGGATTTGATCAGATGACTTGCTTTTAATAGAATGAGATTTGAAGCAAGGAGGAGGTTGGGGAGAATGAGAAGCCATAGTCAAGGAGCTCTATACCCTCAGAGGACACATGGCTCTAGACCAATAGACAAGTAGAGTGTATGTGTCTAAGTAAGAAGGAAAGAAAGAAATGAATCCAAAATCAAATTCTGCCTGCTCCCAACATTTCCTTACACTAGTTCTGCCCTCTTTTCTTTCTAAAGGTCAAATAGGAAAGCTATCAGATTATTGTTCCCTCAGGCAACAACAGCAAGAGTCACCTTACCAGTGTTCTGTACTGCCCCTCAAAAGAAGGCCAGGTAGTAGAGAGGGCAGGCCGGCTTCCAGAAACATAGCATATACAATTACCAATCGGGCATAGTATCCCCCGGCTCTTTTCATATCCCCCTAACCTCTCTTGAAAAGTTACATCTCCTTCCCTTTCCTGGGTCATCTGTCCCAGACACCCAGCTCTTCAGTAAAAGGTTCAGAAACCTGGTCGACACTGGATTTCCCTGTTCCAGAAGGGAAGGTCACACTGTATGAGCAGACCCAGCATGCTGCTGAGAAGCACAGGGAGAAGCTGCTTCTGTGGAAACCTTCCATCCCCAATGGAAAAAGCAGTGAGTCATAGTCATACACAGAAACATACAACAGTGGCGTCACAGTAAATCATCTGGAATCCTTGGCAGTAGAAATATTGATTCAATATTTTTATATCATTAATGCATGGTTTTGTGTCTTTAACAGTGCCTGCTGATAATGGATGCTTACTCTAACACCAGTTAAAAGGTGAATGCTATATAGGCAAATAGCAAACATTTGTACCTCAACATTAGTTCTATTATAAGGCTATTAAAATTAATTTAGCAATTCTTTAAAGCATCACAATGAGAAACTAAAAACAATTTCTTAAGGTCATTCCCTTGGAAACTAGATGTAAAGGTTTAGGATTATTAGACCAATCTTTAATCAAGTAGGTTAAAAAGGCATTCTTTTTACTGAGTTAGTTATTATTGAAGAACTCCAGCTAATATGATTTTCCCAAATATGCATAAGAGATTGTGTCTCTCTACTCCAGGGTGAGGAGAGCTATCTCTTTGAATAAATGAAAATACACTTTCTTACAGCTTTAAACTCTTCCTTACGTATTTTAATTTAAACAAATAATGTTAATAACCTTAAATCCATGAGAATTTCTTTCCAACGAATATTTGTTCAAAGTCAAAAATGGAAATACTGATTTACTGAATGATCAGCACTGCCTTTTTTTTTTTTTTTAACCCAAATACCTTTAATTCTCCAGAGTTGGAGGGACAAAGGTGAGAAGTACATTCATTAAAACAAAACAAAACAAAACAAAAAACCAAAACCTCACAATATATACATTCTCCCATCTAATTCATAAGTAAGACTCCCACCCACTGGCACTGAAAAGCTGTAATCCCACAAGCAAGAGCCATACCCGTGTGCATGCACTCATGTGAAAATATCACACACACTAAATTGCACTGAGGCCGTGACAACATGCAACTTAGTAATGTGCAATATCTCCACCAGAGCAAGCAGAATGGGAGCATCGGGGAAGAAGGACGTGATGCAAACATTCAGGACGCAGCATGCTCTACAGAGACAAAAATGGTTTGGGGGTTGGGGGTGCATGCCACTAACTCAAAAATTCATGAAACAAAAACCCAAATGAATACACAAACATATTCAATTTAGAAAGACACTTATTCAGAGCTGAGAATCGTAACTGAGGTTCAAAAATTCAACGACACAGTGGTCATCGAGTAGTCACATATTTCGTAAGGCAAAGCTTCAAAAGCCAAGACACTTTTGCTGCCTGGTCATGCAGTTAACTCCCAATTTCAATTCCACTTTGAACTTATTGACGGATCATATAAAATAGGTGAACAATTTCTACTTGACTGCAACACTGATGACAACTAATGATTGATGTTTATAAAATCTGATTTCACTGATAATTTGCAGACTGAACTGCACTCTGAGGACTCTATAATAACATTTTCATAATCACTTGTATAACTTTTCCTCTTAAAATCTCTGTACATAACGAAACATATTCCATCTTGAACACAATCCTTCAGAAGGAAAAATCCAACAAGAGCTCTTAACCCAGAACTCGCTGTTATCTTACATATATGAGAAGGTTCTGCAGAGGCATCTATGTAAAACCTGTGTGTTCTAGGTCTTGCATTTGACCCAGGAAAGAAAAAGACAGAAAGCACTGAGACTGCTAAAAATCATCTGGAGTTGCAATCTTTAACTTACAATAACTTGATATAGCTGTGGTTACACAAATGGGCCAGACAAGTTAACTAGTCTGTACTGTATTTGTCAACTTTGAGAGCCATTAAGATTCTAGTTCTGGTGCTGATGGTTTAAACATTTTCCTATATTAAAAATATGATAAAATAAACGGGTTTTATACCAGTATGCTTTGGAATCAAGACATGGGCTACTGTTATAGCTCATAATTAGTCTGTACAATCCCAAGAAAATAAGGCAAATCTAATTTGTAAAAAGGCATAAATTTCTTATCTCTGTAGATGACCACACTCTTTCTAGCCTCAAATTCTCTTGTGGGCCAAAGACCTGAATTTTTAGCCGTCAGCCTCATGTGTCTACTTAAACAGTCCTAACAGTACCACAAATTTAATTCATCGTCTTCTGCCCCAACCAGCTCCTCCTGGAAGAAGGCACTGTGGTATACTAGAAGAATATATGCTTTCAATCAGCTGGACCGATGTGCAAATCACAGCTCTGCTTACCAACCCAAGCAACCATGACATTAAAATATTAAGTTTAAAACAAAGGAAGTTGGCATATTTGTATAAAAACAAGTGACTCAGTGACAGAGGACGGTCGACCAGCAGTTCACTCTAAGAAAGCAGAACAAGAGAAAATTCAAGAACTGTGATTTGAAAACAGAAAAGCTTTTGTGAGAATAAGAGTCAGTGCTAATAAAGATTACTTCAGGAAAACGAAGTTCTCTTAAGTTCTTAATGGGACAAGGTAGTTATTTTTCTGTAAGGCTTGGCTTAAGTCACACTGACTAAAAGGATTCTGCCAGCCTTTGAAAGAGTTGATTCACTAGTTTCATCCTACTGGGAAGGTTGAAGGTTATTTTTCTTTCTGGCTGAGTTATTTACACAAACTTCTTTGAGTCAGACAGATGTCACTTAGGTAAACTAACGTGAATTTAATGCTAGAGTTTTCAACATCTTATTTACTCAATAAAGATGATAACCAACGGTAGCACAAGCTTAGAAGGAAAGCTAAAGCAAGTACTTTCCCTGAAGACAGCTTCACCCTGCAAACTGTTACAGTAGATAATACACCCCCCAAACCTGGAATCTTTACACAGATGGCCCCATGTGGATACCCAAGAGCACCAAAGAGGATAAGGGCATTTTTAAAATTCTACCTGATGGCTAATAAAGGAAGCAAGATATTGATGAAGACTTTACCCAGGCCTTGCCAGTAGGAGAAAGAAAGAAAACCCAGGAAACTTTCTATGGAAGAATATATTTCAAGAACATGTGTGTTATTTGAATGTAACTGAAGGTTTTCTGGACACCAAAGTGGTATCTTCAACCACTTGTTAAATAAACACAATGAAGAAATAAACCAAGATCAGTCAGAGAGAATTATCCAGTCAAATCAAGATTTCTATGGAAGACTAGTTCTAAGCAACACTATTTGCTTTATAATAATTTTTTTAAAGTTTTATTTTATTTATTTTTGAGAGAGAGAGAGAGGTAGAAGGAGACAGAGAATCCCAAGCAGACTCCACACTGTCAGTGCAGAGCTTGACACGGGCCTCAAACTCACAAACCGTGAGATCATGACCTGAGCAGAGATCAAGGATCTCTTAACCGACTGAGCTACCCAGGTGCCCTTAGCAAGGCTATTTCTTAAAAATAAGTGGAAACATAAATGCCAACCGAAGATTCACTAGTCCAAAATAAGTTTAAGACCACCTGGCTCACAATTATTACAAAAAGAAACTCTAATGGATGACATGAGGATTTAATTTTGGTATAGCTATTCATAAGCAGTAAAAATGTAGTAGAATCCTAATGAGTTCCAAGCAATGGGGGGAAACGGTGGGGAAGGAGTGGAGCTAGGTCTGAGCTGCGAAAGGCCTTTCCCTACCTGAAATGACAAAGAGGAAAAAGGAGGGCAGAAGCCAGTGACTTGAAAAGAGCATATGAAGAAAAAAAAGTTGAGGAATCATCTCATTCAGAAGCCCAGCCTGCAATACATGGACCCCAGAAGACACGGGAAGTTTCTGGCCAGAACCTGTGCTGCATGTCCAGCCCATGACTGAAAAACAACCCAAAACTTTGCATTTCCAGTATGCAAGCTAACTTCACGCAAAGGGCACAGAGCCCAGCTGCAGAGGCAGAGAGGAGGAAACAGAAAGATCACCTCCTCTCCTCCGCTGGACAAAGCCGCAGCTGCTGAGCTCTGAGAAGGGGAGGTGTATGTGTGGCGCAAGAGGGGGCTCTCGCCAGCAAGGGACATGATACCAGGAGCTGCAGCTGGAACAAGAACTGCAGGGGGTGGGGGGGCTGGTGCTCACAGGACTGACGGCAGGATACCGAAACTGAGCTTTTCTCATCACACTTGCACTGCTCGCATTATTCTCTCAAAAGGAAATTAAAAATTTTGGAAATGCCAGGGTCTGTCACTAGTTTGGCACTGACTGGTATTAGAAAGGCTGAGACTAAAAACAGGCTTCTCAGAGAAAGCAGTGTCTGAAGGAAATAAGAAGAGCATAAATCTTATCCCTACCTGATGGCTTCTTCCACAGACTGGCCAATAATATTAGAAGAAGGACCAGGCTGAGATAGTGGTGTCAGGCTTATCACCCACTTCACTGGCTTGTAGTACTCATCACTGGAACTTAACAGATAAAATAGTGTGGTCAGGAAAATTATCTGCAAAACAAAGGACAGTATCTCCTAAAAAGTCACATTTGGAAACTACAGGAAGGAAACACACATGGAACCAAGAATATGCTTCACTGTGGAACGAGAGGTAACATGCTCATGTTGACATGTACATACCAGAGACAGCACAAAATTGAGAAGGGCCGTCCCGCTGTAGAAGAGGATGGTCAGGAGCGTGGTGACCGTGGTGAAAAGCAGGCTCACGTTCCGGCTCATAACAATCCACAGAGACTCCAAGATCTGATGAAGAGGGAGAGCTGGACATCAGAACTAATCCTGAGGAAAGATGTTCCTACGGCTATCTACTGTGCTTTCAATACAAGTGTGTTTGTACCAGAAAATGAAAAGACAAGAACTGAATATTATTTTATGAAAAAAAAATGTATCATCTGGAAACATTTGAACATTGTATAGTAAGGAAAATGGTTAAGAAAATCATGGTGAATCTAGCTCCAAATCCAGGTAGCCATTAAAGATATCTATAATATAACACAGAAAAACATTTTATGACATAATGGTATTTTAAAACGCAGGAAACGGGGCATCTGGGTGGCTCAGTCAGTTAAGCTTCTAACTTTGGCTCATGTCATGATCTCGTAGTTCGTGGGTTTGAGCCACATCAGGCTCTGTTCTGACAGCTCAGAGCCTGGAGCCTGCTTCAGATTCTGTCTGCCTCTCTCTCTGCCTTTCCTCCACTTGCGGTCTGTCTCTCTCTCTCTCTCCCCAAAATAAACACTAAAAAATCATAATTAAAAAAATAAAAAACAAAAAGCAGGAAACAAAAATTTTATACATAACATGATTGTAACTATGTAAAAATGGTATGTGGAGAAAAAATACCTACAGGAAAATATGCCAGAATGCAACCTGTGTAGAATCACAAGTGCAGATGTGAACACTCTGTATTTGTTCAGTATTTGTTTTATTAGCTGCCTCCCGCCTTTGCCATCTCCAACTTAGATTCACGTACAAAAATAAAAGCATCACTTTGATGTTTTCACTAAAATCACAATAAATATAACAGACAGCATCAAGGGCAGAGCTCTATAGCTGAAAATCTTTTTTCAGATAGATGATGCCCCTACTGAGTTCCTTTGATCCATCACCTGCAAATTCACTAGAATCAGTTATTAAAATGATCATTACTGTATGTTAATTATCACTAGAGGAAGAGGTATAGAATCTGGGATACACCTAGGTTTTAATTTCCTATCTTCTCAGAAACTTAAATTCCCTCATGACAGCGTCTGTCCCCTATGAGAGAAGCACTGCAGATGATACCATCTTCATTTTAAAGACAGACAAACTGAAGCTCAGAGATTTTTTAAAACTTGCCCAAGGGCCTTGGAGCTAATAATTGGAACTAGAGCTGGGACCAGAAATCTAACGTCTGATTTTATTTTGGTGTGCCCTTTCCAAAACAGCAGCTCTGTTTTTTGTCATATGTGCAAGTTCCACCATCTGTTCTCTGAAAGGCCTATCCATTCCTTTCCTATCTCAAATGTATCATTTATAAAGACATATTTTGTTGTCCCAGGCATTTGTTGCAAACCTCAGCTCAGTCTTCATAGGAGAGCTTTTGCAGGCTGGTTTCATTTACAATAACTCCTTACATAAAATCTTCAAAATGCTTTGCAATGCCTACAAAAATATGCATGACTGGCCATTTGACCCTGTGGGATAAAGAATGGATGAATAATGACACTGATTCCAAGAAACGAGCCAACAATACCCTTATTTGTAATTTTTACATGCATTCTTTTGGGGGCTTCTGGCATTTTGGAATTTTTATTAAAAAAAATCTTTAAATAGTTTCTGGGTCACACTGATAGGAAATACCCTGTGACAAGTCTTAAGAAATTAACTGAATATGTTAATTGTAGACTGACTGTCTCCAACAACAATCAAGTAACCTTTCTGTGTACCCAAGGGGATTAGGAAGAAAGGTTCAGACCATGAGAGCTATTGGATATTACAAGAATATAAGCAGAAATAAAAAATTTGATCAAGGGTTGACTTTGATGCCTTAAGACTTTTTTTCTGATGAGACAGGTGGTGACATTAAAGAATGTGATTTTTTGGGGGCACGTGGGCAGCTCAGTCGCTTAAGCGTCCGACTTCAGCTCAGGTCATGATCTCATGGTTCATGGGTTTGAGCACGTCAGGCTCTGTGCTGACAGCTAGCTCAGAGCCTGGAGCCTGCTTCAGATTCTGCATCTCCCTCTCTCTCTGACCCTTCCCTGCTCACGCTGTCTCTCTCTCTCTCTCTCTCTCTCTCTCTCTCAGAAATAAACAAAACATTTTTTAAAAATTTAAAAAAGAATGTGATTTTTTTATACTCCATAAGAAAATGTCTTGATATTTAGATGATGTACAGAAATCAGTGAACCAATATTCCAAATGACCATTTCATATTACAGAAGCATATAAAAGTAAATGACCCATTTCTAGTCAAGATAGATCAATGGACTTCAGTGTAAGGCAGTACGAAAAGTTTATATTGATATGGTTTCAAATTCTACACTGCAACTAACATTTAAGAAGTACGATTTGTTGAGTTTTGGTGTAGTATCAAAGAATAGCCACAATTATCTGAAAAGGCTATTAAAAGAGTCCCCTCTTTTCCAACTACCTATCTGTATGTGGCTGGATTTTCCTCATATACTTCAATCAAAACAACGTATTGCAATAGACTGAATGCAGAGGCAGACAGGAGATTCTAGACATTAAAGAGATTTGCAAAAAAGTAAAAGAAAGCCACTCTTCTCACGGAATCATTTTTTGTTTTGGAAAATGGTCATTTTGCAGATGCAAAATATGTGTTGATATATAATGTTATTTTTTGTGAATTAATACATATTTGCAAAGGTCTCAGGTTTAACTGCTAAAACAATAATAATCAATAGATCCCGCATAAACAAAAACTCTGCAGTCCTCAGACTAACAAGTTTGACAGCCACTGGACTAGAGAAAACAGAGGCAAGGGATCACCAAACATATAAACTCTTAGAACTGAAGGACATGCATTTCTAGATTTAACTCCACACTGTGATAGCTTTATTAGGTGAGTGGGAAGAAGGGCAAGTGTGAGTGCAGGGATGTGGGAAGGAAGTGAAAGTTATAAGAAAACCCCAAAGGTGATACAAGAGAGCACTGAGGGACTTCAGAATCACATCTTTATCTCCATCTTCCATATCGGGAAGCCAAAAGATAATACCTAAAATTGCAAAACCAAGAAATACCAGCATAAATATTATTTTGGAAATTTAGAGATCAACACCCAGAGAAAACTAAAAGAATTGACGGTGGTTTCCAGAAAATGAGACTGACATGGAGAAGCACAAAGCAGGGCACTTTTTTTTTTTAGTGAAAATCTTAAACTATTATTGACTCTCTGCTGTGGTCATCTATTAGTTTGATAAAATTAAATTTAAAAAAATCTACCACTGCAGGGCACCTGGATGGCTCAGCCAGTAGAATGTGCAACTTTTGATCTCGGGGTTGAGTCTGAGCCCCATATTGAGTGTAGAGATTACTTAAATTCTTTAAAAAAAAAAAAAATCTAGCATTGCAAACCTCAACATCTGTTAACTTGATGAAAGTCACGAGTCTGTTCACATGAAAGCTCCTCTCCTCTCTGTGAAAAGCCACATGCCAGGACACTTTATAAAACACACTGCGGAACCAAGAGTCGTTCTTAAAACTTCAGCAAGGCTGCAAGCTGTTCCTTGCTGCCTTCGACCCTATGGCAAACAAGGCAGAGGTGGGTGGTGCATGGTGGGAAAATGGGTGGACGATAACAAGTTGAGCCTCTGAGGAACATCCAGTCTTTCTAAGGTAACGAACCAGATTTCCATCTGCCAAAGACTTTGCGTACCAGTAAGGTCTTTCTCTAGTGGTCCAGCTTGGGGACATTCTAGTCAGCCCACGGGTACAGAGGGATACATATCTCAGAATCCGAGAGCCCACAACACTTCACATATGCCTCCTGATTCAGCATTTCCTGGCTACTCTTCAACCACAGAGAAGGCACCAGGGGACCTACTCCTGAGGCCTAATCGTCTTCAGACATCTTTCTAGTGCATTTTGTACTCTCAAAATGGCAAAATGCCGTGGCATTAAAAACAAGGTAACTAAAGGCCTCTACATGTGCAAAGAACACCGGAAATCAGAATTTCTATTTTTATGTCTAAGCTCCGTTTAACTAAAAATTCTATTTCTTACCGAAAGAAATGTCTCAATGTTCTCGTGAACAAAGGAAGCGATATCCTGCCAGTCCAAGATGTCTCCCAGCCAGCTATTCTGACGGTTTATATGCATCTTGTGTCCTTTGTGCCTTCCAGAATGTGTTACGTTCTATGGAATAAAACAATTTGGATGGGAAATCTCCAAAAGGATAAGATGTATAAATACTCTATTTTGTTTTTATGTCCACTTGAGTACTTGAGTACCTGGTCACTCAAAGGTGATAAACTGCATTATTTAAGAAATCAGCTAAGAATTCTACCTGAAGACCCAAAACATGAATACATTTTTCTGTTTACCTTTTAGATGCCACCTGTCAGCTGAGCTCAAGCACTTCCTTTTTAATGCGTTTATGAACACCCTTCATTCCTCAATATGTACAACTGTACACCAACACAGCATTTTGTGGTTTTTTTTCTCTTTTTCTTTCCTCTACCTTTTTGAGGGTCCCCATTTTTGCTTTTTTCCTCCTTTCCTCATCCCCCCTAATTATTAACCTTCCATACAAGATAAAGAAAGGAGGAAAGAGGAATATAAAGTACACTAAAAACCAATACAATGTTATATGTCAATTATATCTCAACAAAATGGGGGGGGGGGTAAATGAAAAAGAAACAAAAATGGGAGAAAAATCTAACTCACCAACATGGAAAAGAAATACATTGCCAAGAATGCAGGAATGCCTGCTTCGATCCTTTGTCCCCCAACTTTGCCCCTCCCCTATTTCCCCCTCTCTCTCAAAAATAAATAAAAAGTTTTTTTAAAAAGTAAAATGGGGGCGCCTGGGTGGCTTAGTCGGTTGAGCATCCGACTTTCGCTTAGGTCACGATCTCGCGGTTCGTGGGTTCGAGCCCCGCGTCGGGCTCTGTGCTGACTGCCAGCTCAGAGCCTGGAGCCTGTTTCAGTCTGTGACTCCCTCTCTCTCTGGCCCTCCCCTGCTCATGCTGTCTCTCTCTCTCTCTCCTAGAAATAAATAAAACATTAAAAAAAATTTTTTAAAAAATAAAAAAAATAAAAAGTAAAATGAACAGAGGACAGAATACAATACAGCACAGAGACAGGTGGGTTCCACCATGGAGATTAACCATCAACTCAAGCTGACTTACAGTGACCTGAGGTTTAAGACCCTATAGCTTCAAAATTTCAATAAATGACAACCCAATGTTAATATTGATCTAGTTAATATCTATTGAGTCAATGAATCTGTAAAAGGACTTTATTAGTTTATAATTGAAATCATTTAATAAAATAACTTACCTTTACAAACCAAGAATGATACAATCTGTCCCAAAGTTCTAGTACTTGCTTTTCAATCACAGCAGTATTGTTCACCTTATCTCCCAGAATTTTATGAAGCTGGAAGAAATACGGATATAATCTGCTTTACTATTTCAGGCAACAATCCAATAAAATTAATTTATGCTGGGTCTTTACATTTGTTCCAAATCAAATGAAAATGTTCCAGACTATTTAATTGCCTCTAGCCATCTTACAATCTTTTCTTAAACTCTGTACTCTTCAATATTCCCAGCAAATTTCCTTGCCTTTCTTGGCTTTTTGCTTTCCTCTATTTTTGGGTGTCTAAGAGCGCCACTTCAGGTTGTAAGAGAAAGGTACATATGAAGCCATGATCACTGACTTAGCAAATCTTATCTGGCCAGAGAAAAATATGTTGCATGTGGTCCAAGTGTCCATCCATTACACAGAAATGTTACATTTATCACTGGTGTAAGAATTACCACAGAACTTTAAGTAAAATTTTAGGGCCTTAGCTATAAACACAAATATTCCCCAGACTTTGCTGAGAGGCATCAGGTCTAAGACTGATGAGACTGGCTTCAGGGTTTATGGGAATCAAGTACAGTGAAACATGCTAACTTTGAGGAAAGTTACTCATTATGATACCCCACGTTTTGTTATTAGAACCATAGCATAAGGGTGCCTGGGTGGCTCAGTTGGTTGAGTGTCCAACTCTTGATTTTGGTTTAGGTCATGATCTCAGGGTCATGAGATAGAGCCCTGCATTGTGCTCCATGCTTCCATGCTGGGTGTGGAGCCTGCTTAAGATTCTCTCTTTCTCTCTCTCTCTCTCTCTCTCTCTCTCCCCTCCCTCCCTCCCCTTCCCCCTCTCCCTTCTCCCTCCCCCTCCCCCTTCCCTCCCTCTGCCCCCCCACACCTACTTGAACACTCTAAAAACAAACAAACAAACAAGCACTGGTGGTGGCTCAGTCAGGTAAGCATCTGACTTCGGATCAGGTCATGATATCGCGGTTTTTGAGTTCCAGCCCCATGCTGGACTCTGTGCTGACAGCTCAGAGCCTGGAACCTACTTCGGTTTCTGTGTCTCCCTTCCTCTCTCTGCCCCTCCTCTGCTTGCACTCTGTCTCTCTCTCTCTCAAAAATAAACTAAAAAAAATTAAACAAAACAAAAACACCATAGTATAATAGTAAAAAGTTTTTTGAAAAGATAAACACTGATTTGTAGTCCCACTTCCTTACCACAAATGCTTCAATTTTTCCATATCCTCTGAAACTTTGTGTTTATAAATATAACTTAGAGTTTTTCATCACTTCATCACTTTTATCTTTACTTTTAATGGTTCCATGTTATTTTCTTTGTTTGTTTGTTTTTAAAGATTTTTAAGTAATCTCTACGTCCAAGGCGGGGCACAAACTCCAACTCCAAGATCAAGAGTTGCACTCTATCAAATGAGTCAGCCAGGAGCCCCAGTTCTTAAGTTCTGATATTATTTTATCATTACCCAGTCAGAGGCTATGGAGATGGTTCCCAATTTTTAGTGTCACAAGTAACACGGCAGTGAACGTCCTTACACACAACTTTTTTCTTATTATTCATAGTATGATAAATATATAGGGACCAAAGGAAATAGGTATTTTAATGGCTCTTGCTATGCACGGTCTTTTATAGGGATCATACCAATTAACATTTTCCAACATTGTACGATTAAGCCAATTTTCCCAAAGCCTAACAGACTGATAAATTTTTAGACAGTTTAATAGCTGTGAAATTGTAACCAATCATTTATACTTTTCTTCTTTAGGTATGAGAATAACCACCTTTCCATGTTGGTTTTCAATGAGTATTTTCTTTTGTGTGGCCTATCCACATCTTTTGGTCACATGATGCTGCCCTTATATATATATCTGATATATATATCTGAGCCAGTTTTTAGACTTATATAACACAAACATATCTGCCCAATATTTTCCTCTATATTTTATTTATAAACCAAACACAAATTAGTAAATATAATAAAAGCCATTTATCTTTGTGTAGCATTTTACAACTTACAATGGCTTTCACCTACATTACGTGATCATTACAACAACCCCAAGAGTTAGGCAGCAAAAGGTCTTTATCACCTTTGTTCTTTCAAGATGAGAAGGCAGGCCTAGAAAGAACCTAGAACAGGCCCAGGTCAGGCAGCTAACTGGCAGAGGAATCTTTCAACTACAGCATATATAACCTATGAACAAAAAACACCTAACACAGCAATTTCCCCAAAATAACTAAAAGTCACAATTACCCCTAGTCTTCTTCCTTTTAATTACTTTAAAGTTGTCTTTTGGGCATCATGAGTGCCAGACACTCACAGACTTCCTACTACTAATTCTTTCTGTTCCTCTCCGCTTAGTTTCCGAGATCCCCCCCCACCGCCTTTAACCAGAAGAGCCCCCAGTCTAGGCTGTCTGCACAGTAGCCTTTGTCGCAGTAAAGCACTCTCTCAAACTGGCATCCACTTTAGCACAGCTTAGCAGTGAACAACTCTACAACACGACAACTATTAAGGCAAATTTCGGTATCATTTCAGCCTTGTGGTGCCGCCAACCACAGGAGGACATCACAGACCTGGACCACCACCCTGCAACGTCACAGTATGTATCACAAGTCACAAGGAAGACGGGACCAGAGAGCATGGAGCCTGACGGCCATATCACTGCTGCCAGAAGAATCACCAAAGCACAGCTCCTGTTGGTGGTGTGTGAGAGGTTCTTTGCAGATGAAAGACCATGACGCTCTAAGAGCAGTCAGAATGCCATTTGAGTGCTGTGTAACTGAAGGTGAATAACCTCATCTATAAAATGGGGATGGTAAGGCGGTAGGCAGTTTTCTGTTCTCACTTTGCTTGGAATCTTGACAGCCATTGGCCACAGCGTGACCAAGTCTTTCTTGAAATCTCTTCTCTCAGAAAGACAGATACCATATGTTTTCACTTATAAGTGGGTCAGGAGAAACTTAGCAGAGGACCATGGGGGAGGAGAAGGGGAAAAATAGTTGGGGAGAGGGAGGGAGGCAAACCATGAGAGGCTCTTGAATACTGACAACAAACTGAGGGCTGATGGGGCTGGGGGAGAAGAGAGGGGGGTGATGAGCATGGAGGAGGGCACTTGTGGGATGAGCACTGGCTGTTATATGGAAACCAACTTGATAATAAACTATGAAAGAAAAAAAAATCTTCTCTCAACCTCTAAGACAAACACAGGCTGTTCACCACCTTCCCCCCCTCCCCCCACTCCTCCTCCCTCATCTTCTCTGCTGACTTGCTTCTGTGACCTTCAAAAGCTTAAGTGCTCTAAGAATCCATCTTTGGCCCTCTTCTATCTGTACTTTCTCCTTAGGTCATATCATGGGATAAACTGTATCCCTCCTAAATCCTAACCCCCGCTCACCCTGTACCTTAGAATGTGACTGTATCTGGAGATAAGATCTTTAAAGAGGTAATCAAATTAAAATGGCTTCATCAGGATGGGCTCTAATCCAATATGATCAGTATCCTTATAAAAAGAGGCAATTAGGAGACAGCCACGCGCAGACAGAAGACTATGTGAAGAAGACTCAGGGATCTACAAGCCAAGGAGAGAGGTCTCATAAGAAACCAATTCCACCACCACCTTGATCTTGGACTTTCAGCCTGCAGAACTGTGAGAAAATAAATTTCAGTTGTCTGCACACCCAGTCTATAGTACTTTGTTATGATAGTCTTATCATACTAACACAGTTCACTTCCACTGATGGGTAGAATGAATCTGATGATACTCAAACTTCCACCTACACCCCAGATCTCTCCCCTGAGCCCCGGCTATGTATGTCCAAATACCTTTTCTGATATCTCGACTTAGATATCTGATAGGCATCTCAAACTTCACATGCCCCAAAAAGAATTACAGCTTGATCTATCTGTATCCTCCCTGGCCCCCCACCACCTCCAAGGTCTTTTCATCTCAGTAAGTGGCACAACTACCCTTCCAGTTGGGTGAACCAAAAACTTCCTTCCCTTTCATTCCATATCTAATCCATGTCAGAACTGCCTCAGAAATACATGCTAAATGTGACCATTTCTCTCAATTCCCACTTCTACCATCCTAGTTCAAGTTCTCAACATCTCCCCTGGACTGTTGGAATAATATTATTTTAGCCAGGGCCATGCCTTCTCCATTCCTGCCTATCTCTCCATAAAGGAGCCAAAATGAGCTTTCAATATCCTAAATCAGGTCACATCCCTTTCTTTTTTAAATCCATATTTACCTTTATAACGAAAAAAGAGTCCCAACCTCTTGTTATGACCTGTGGCTAAGTCACGTCACCACATGCCCTGTTCCAGCCACACTGGCCTTCTTTCTTTCCTTCAACCAAGCTTCTTCCAATCTCAGACCCTTTGAATTTTCTGTGCCCACAACTTGAAACTTTCTTTTCCCAGATCTCCAGTCTTAATGAAAACATCACCTTCTCAGAGACACTCTGTCTCCAGCTAAAGCATCACCCTGGGTCACTCTCTACCATGTTACCTGGTCACAATACTTTTCGATCTGAAATGGTTACTTGTTGACATGTTTCATGTCTACCCCTGCTCACCAGAGTCAGCTCCGGGAGGGTGGTAACTCTTTCTGGTCTCCTGCTTCTCCCCAGCACTTAGGACACTGCCTGGCACATTTGGGGACTACTGTCACTTTCTTCATTCTAGTCATGAGAGAAGGGACAGAGATAACCCACTCATGGCTTATTCTCTTGCTGTCTCAGGGTAGCACCTCCAGGTACAAATTTTGGAAAAAACCTATGAGGCAGAAAGGTTAGCTCAAACAAGGATGTTGAGTGAAGAAAGTAAAGTGGATTTGAGAAAACCGCAAACTAGCAGGCCTTGGTAGAACCCAGATAAAGCACAGAGGACACGGGAGATCAGGCTGACAGAGTAGACGGGCAGGTAGACAGGAACCTCTCTGCTCACACCTAAGCATACCCTAAAAAACTTTCTTCCCTTTCTGGGCATGACCTTTTTCCAAAGCTTCAGACCCTTCTACACATTCGCTCCCAGGACCCAATTCTTACATGATTCTTAGTTGGATAAGATCTGAGCTTATTAGAAAAGCTACCCCTACAATTTCAGTGGATCTTTTTTTTTTTTTAACAACTTTATTGAGATGTATCACACACCTTACAATTCACCCACCTAAGTGTACTAATTCAATAGTTTCTTGTAGTATATTCAAACTTAAGCAACCATCATCACAATGAATTGTTAAACATTTTCATTACTCCAAAAGGAAACTCCATACTTCTTAGCAATCACTCCACCATTTCCCCCAATCTTCCCTACCCCCTGGAAACCACTACTCTACTGTCTGTCTCTATAGATATGCTTCTTCTGGATGTTTCATACAAAAGGAATCATATGTATGCGGTCTTTTATGACTACTTCTTTTACTTGGCATAATGTTTTCAAGGTTCATCTACATTGTAGAATGTATCAGTGCTTCCTTCCTTTTTATGGACAGATAATAGTGTATAGATACACCACATTTTATTTATCCATTCGTCAGTCAATAGACATTAAATGGTTGGTTTTAGATATTATCTTCATGTCTTCTAAATTAGGACCACAAATATGTTACCATCTTTGTTAGCAATACCCATCTCTCTTCAGCTGGCTTCCCTTTTAGAGTCTTGAACAAAGGTTTCAAATCTATCTTTTCTCTAAGTAATTTCTAAGGAACACTCTCCAGCTTTCCCCAAGTAGGTAGATTTCCAGAATACAAATTTCTCCCAAATATATAAACCAAAAACTTAAATGCTATGCTTTCAGCAGAGTAAGTCAGCCAATATATTTCTAGAGATCTAAGACTTCTGCAATGGCTGGATCTTCTCTGATGACAGTTATGAGATCTATACCTATAGACTTATCTTTCACTTATTCAGCAAGTATTTTTTGAAGACTTCCATGTGGCATTTGATTTGGTTACCTGGTATGGCCTCAAGAAAATCAGTAACATAGATCTTTCTCTTAACTTTTTACTCGACTACAATTCCATCCTTAGGTTAGATTACTTTACACATGTGGACAGTGTAATTTCCAAGATAATTTTTGAGACCTTGTTCTTAAATTTTGAACAAGAAACCACATATAGTACTTTTTTTCTGGGGATACATCTCACTGCAACAAATCTTGTTAATCCCTAGTTGATCCTAATGACTTCAATATATTAAAACTCCAAATTACCTTCCTTCTCACAGGCAGTATTAGGAGTTGGGAGATAAAAGGATATCCCAAATCTGTCCCATGGAGACTGACCCTTACCTACAATAACGGTGCCTTTTCCTCTTTCCTTCATTTCCTTCCACAAAGCTTCAGATAAGCTAATCTCAAGCAGACTCCTGTCTCCACAGTTTGGCTCACATAAATACCTCTTCTTAAAATATACTCTTCCTTCTCTTTATTCATCTAAGATTTATCATTCCTTCACAGTTTATCTCAAGTGCCTCGTTAAGGCACCTAACCCAGTTCTGGGCATGCACTTCTAGCATGCTATAGTAGAAAGAACAAGGGATTTAGAATTAGTCTTCAGTTTCAAATCAAGTCTGCAATTTACTACATGACCACTGGGTTTTATTTAGCCTTGCTAAACCTGTTTCCTCCTCTGTAAACTGGGTAAAATAATTCAGACTACTGTAAATTTCTTGGAAAGATGAAATAAAACAAACTAGAAATGCCAGCCATAGTCACCAGCAGATATAATACTTAATATTTGCTAACAATGTTTTTTCCTCCACAAAGCCTTATTTGACCAACCAATCTTAATGATCATTCTGTCCTAATGCACCAATAACTAATACCTACCTTGAACAAGAAGCAAAAGACCAACCTCTTTGTTCAGGCTATTAACACTATTAAATACAATCATCCAGATAGTTTAATTTCATTGAACATTTCTTGTTGTCTTACAGATTTAAATTTAAACCTATTTCAAAAACAGAAACTGTTCTAAACACAATCTCCATTTATATTTTATTAAAGCAGTAAATCCTACCAATGAAGAACCTACTAAAGTCACAGAGAGGCTGTTCCCTTACCTTGTGGGTTATCCATTCTCTTCCATACTGATACACATTGTTAGCCGCAGAATTGAGGGCTCTTTGGACTACTTGAGCCTCAGGAAGCCAACTAATTTAAAAGAAAAACGAAAAAATGAAAAACTAGGACATTTTTAGTGTACTGCACCAATAACTCTTAGAATTTAATGTATTTAAACAATCAGTAACTGACAAATTATTGATCGGTCATCACACACTGATACAAATGAATCACATGTAGGAAGCCTTGACTTCTGACCCTAATGTTTATTTCTACCATTGAAGATTCCCTTCAAACTTTCCTTAGCTTTCAGACCCACTTTCCCCCACAAACTCCCTTTTATTCTACTCTGTCCATACGTGTTATCTGCCTTACTGAGCACCAGCAGAAGTGGTTCTGGGCCACTGGGATAGTCAGAATCTGGGACAATGGTTCTCTGTGTGTGGTCCACGGACCAGCAGCATCAGAACTGCCTGGAAACCCATGAGACATGCAAATTCTTGGGTTCAACTCCAGATCTATTGAAAAAGAAACGGGGCAGCGGTCCAGCAATCCGTACCTTACCAAGCCCTAAAAATGGTTCTGATACATGCTGAAGTTTGAGAACCACTGATCTAAGAATGTTAAGAACTGAGAAAGTAAACAAGAAAATTAAGAGGGCGAATCATTGTTTTCAATTTCTTACTCACTGGAGATCTTTTTAAGATGTGAGGACCTCCTGAGCAGAGTTGCAGCTATACAAGGAGCTGCATCTATAAGCTTTACTCTCTGTGCTTTGAGAGACAGCCTCCTCACTTTCCTGTTAACTACACAGGCTTTCAGCAAATTCTCAACTATTTCTCAGCAAGCAGGACAAAACTTTAGAGAGGATTACAAATGTAATAACCTACGTAATGAGGATATAAACAGGAAATTGGGATCTTTAAACAGATGGGATTTGGGAGAAATTAAGTATCTTTTAAATTATCCTGGTATTTACACGTTCATTGGTGCTTTGAAGGGACAGCTGAATATTTTCAATTATCTTGTAGTATATTTCATGGGGAAAATTATAACCTGTAGTGTTAAAGTTATGAGGATTCACAAAAGTACTTGAATAGATCCTTAATGACTAACAAGTGTTTATAAGGCCTGATACGATCTTGCTGGCTACTGTGAAATACTTTGCCAATGTCCTCACACAGGTGTCTTAAAAAGCCTCAGATGAGACGAGCTTATATGAGGCCAAGTCAAAGGTCTTAGCTCCATCCAGACCTCCTCACAATGAGCGCTCTCTATCTGGGACAAGCTGGCATGTGCTTTAGTCTTACATTGACCAGAGCGAATCACTAATTCTACTACACTAAGTCAAGAAGGTTCACTCAGGAGAAACCAAATTCCTAGAAACTGGACTGGCCTAGCCTCATCTTCCGGGGTAAAGGTTAATCTCTATCACAATATGACCTACCAAGAGAACAGCCCCATTAAAAACAACTTAGCCTAGCCTGCTAGATTCCTCCCAAGTAAAGAAGGGCTAAATCACATTTAGTACCATTTTAATGCCATCTCCTGATGAGGGTCATGAGAATCAACAGAGTTGAAACTAGTTAACAGAAAGAAGGAAATGGGATCTAAGTGAACAGAATGGTTCAAGACAAGAATTAAGATATGCTCCAACTTCATTTTCTATGAAGCTCTGTGAAGATGACCCTACCCTGCCTTTGTAATTTATCCATCAGCTCATGAAACATACTCATGGGAAATAGAGGTACTTATGTAGGGTATATAAAACATGCACCACACTGAAAGAAAGCATACATGACCAGTTCTTAACTGTATCTCTCCCACTAGATATATCCATGTGAATTTTCCACAAAGTCAACTGCCATCTCCAGGACAGGAGTCCACTGAGTACTGAGACTGCAAGAACCATTAGTATTCATTCATGTCTACCCCTATTAATCTGCTGCAGAAGAATCAGACTTCCCATAGATCATCAAAGTCTAAACAGCTTTTAATTCCTTCTATCTTCCTGAACAGAATACTACACAGCAATAAAAGGGAACACACTAACAATACCTGCAATGTCTTCAATGAACTTCAAAAGAATTATTAGTGAAAAAAAATCACTAATCATATTAATCTTTCAATCTCACAAGGTTACATACACTATGATTTGATCTATACATCATTCATGAAACAACAATATTATAGATACAAAGAATAGATTACTGGTTGCGAGCACTATGGTATGTTAAAAGAGGAAGTAGAGGGTAGGTGTGGCTATAAAGGGGTGGCATGAGGAAGCCTGTGATTATGGAATAGTTCTGTACTTGATAGTCTAGACAGCTTATAGAAAGCTACACATGATAAAATTGTAAACACACAGACCTACACATACACACACACACACGAGTGCATGTAAAACTAGCGAAATGTCCATTTCCTAGTTTTGTTATTATATTATAGTCATGCAAGAAGACAACATTATATTATAGTCATGCAAGAAGAGGAGGTGGGCTGAAGAGTCCATGGACCTCCCTATGGCTTTTATGCCTTGTGAGTCTAGAATTCTTCCAAAATTTAAAAACAAAAACAACCAACTTTCTAAACTGCTCTGATCTGGGGCTCCCCAAATTATGTGTGCCTTCAATACAGTGGTAGTGAGAGTCCTATTCAATTGGAAACCAGTAGAGAGGGGCCCTCGAACTATTTTTATTACAGGAGAATAACCACCAAAAAAGAGGAGCCCTGACATATTAATGCTCCCTATTTTTTAACTTCACTCCAGATCTCTCTCCTGAACTACACACCAACACAGCCAATGGTCTACTGGATGCCTCTGCTTACCATAGGCACCTCAAACACAACACATAAAAAAGGAAGCGAATTCTTTTTCCCACCTTACCTTCTCCTCTACTTCCTGTCTAGGTGAATCTACCATCATCAACTAACTTCCAAATCTAGAAACAAAAGTCATATTAGATTTCTTCCAACTATATCTAGTTGACCACCAACACCTTCCTTAAGATCTTATAAATCTGACCATCCTGTTCATTTCCCTACAACTGTCCACAATTAAGGAATTCATCACCTCTCATCTAGTTTACTCTAGCTTTTCACTGATCTAAAAGGCTCAAATCTTGTACCCTATCTTTTCTCCGCAGAGGGAAAGACTGTTCTAGAATGAAATCCGATTATGCTACGTCTCTTCTTCTGTCATTAATCAAGATAATAAACATTATCTATCTCCTTCAAAATTTCCTTGTGCGTCTATGTAGTCCCCTCCCAGAGCCCACCCCTATCCACAAACACCACTGATCTGTCACTATAGATTAGTTTGCATTTCCCAGAACTTAGCATAAATAGAATCATAGTGTATGGGTTTTTGGTTTTTTGTTTTGGCCTGACTTCTTTCACTCAGCATAATTATTCTGAGATCCATCTGTGCTGCTGCATGGACAGTTCATTTTCACTTAATGGTAAATATTATTCCTTTGTATGTATATACTGCAATTTGTAACTAACCAGGAATACTAAGGACAAGCACTTTGAGTGTGAAATATATTTTGAAAGATGTCCTTTTAAGGATATTCAAATATGATTCTAAGCCAAGTTCAAGAAATGTCCTTTGCAGGTTTTACATAAAAGAATAAAGTCAATTAAGATAGAAAAGTGAGTTAAATCTCAATTTGCAATCCTAAAACTGGCAGAGTATTTCCTACTTACATTAGTGACTACCTTGAAGGTATTAAAAAAAAAAGTCCATACAATTTGTCATCAAATTCAACAAGGCAACTTAAAACCCTTCTCACAGAAGCCAGATTAAACAAGTACAAAAGTGATCCTCTAAGACACGGGTTGACAAAGGTTTTCTGTAAAGGGCCAGAGAGTAAATATTTCAGGCTTTTTGGGACATAAAATCTGTATCACAGCTACTCAATTCTACTTGCTCTTGCACCACCACCATCCCTCAAACAGCCAAAGACAAAAAACGTAAATGAATGGGTGTGGGTGTGTTCTAATAAAACAGGTGGCCGGATCTGGCCCTGAGCCACAGACTGCCTACTCGGCCTCCAAAATAATACAGTGTGGAAATATTGCTGACGATGCCACTGGGGGATTATCTCCAATTCTGTAACCTTTGATCCTGATTCCTCATCTGTGAAATGGGGATAATCTCTTCAATCTCCTCACACACTGTGATGAACACAGGACACAATGTAAGTGAAAGGCCTTTGCAAATCATATACCTGTTGTAAACTGTAAATCTCAATTCAAATATAAAGACATTTATAACTGTGCCCAGAGTTGTACACACTTCCCTCTCCTACCACCCTCCAACACACGCTGTTCTGATGCAAAAACGACAACACTCATCAAAGCTTTGGCAAATCCTGTCTTTTCTATTCCAACATAGCTACATCAATGAGTATCAGATCGTTTTGTGCAAACAAATATTGAATCTAGGCCATCCATTTCTATTTTTACCAAAATCATACTCTTACTTTGCCCACTCAGGGTGATTTGCTAGGGTCTCATTAATCAAATTGCTTGTGACTTCAATCAGGTGCACACTCTCTTGATGCACCTGTATTACAGATAGGAGAGAAAAAAAAAACTCAGTAAAAAATAAGCCCAACTTAACATTTATGTTTCCATACTATTACTGGAACAATGCTTTTAGAGTTAAATAATTACACATCTTAGTTTCAATTAATTTAGAAACCTGTACTGAATAGCTATTATACATAATGTCCTATGACACTATGGGAAAGAAAAAGTACCTAATAGCTCCCCGCTTTCAAGAAGCTCAACAGCTTAAGGAAAAAAAAGAAAACCATGTGACTATAAATACATATACACAGTCCAATAAATATATAAATTTCACACACACACGTGTGCATAGTATATGTAAGCAGTATCAATACTGCATGAGCTTACAGAATTATGAAGCAGTGTGAGACATACAAACAAATAAGGAACTTAGTAAGGTTCCGGGGGACGGGGCGGGGAGGATGGCGCGGAGAGCCAGCTAAAATTGTATCTCAGAATTTACCTTGCCCAATAACCAAAAAGTGAGGGGGATGAAAAGGTCAGTGCTAGAGAATATGTTCTTTATTTTACTATTTCCAAATTGGGCATACTGGGCAATTTATCCTGGCCAGTGTTCACTCAACAAGAACATCATTCTGCTATTGCCACTTCACATCGGCTGACAGTGTTTTTCAAGCCCTTTCTATTCTTAATTTTCTATCTACTTATTCTCTAAGTTATCGCAAGAGGAGTATTACTGGATCCCTAACTATAATCACTGGTTTGTCTATTTCTCCTTTAATTCTGAATATTTTGCTCCACCTTTTATTTAGCTCTATCATTAGGAATTCATACATTTAAAACAGATCCTATTGCAGTGTTACCTCTTTTATCATTAGGACAAGTCCTTATTTCTTATCTTCAGTAACATGTGTTTAAACTATATGGCCTTCTATTAATATAATCACTCTACAAACCTTATGTCTACAGTGTGACTGGTATATCTTTTTTCCTCCTTTTACTATCAATCTTTTTAGGGCTCCGAACTTAAAGGGTATCACTTACAGATATCACTTAGCTGGAGCTTGCTGTTTTACATTCAATCTGAAAATCTCTGCCATTTGATTTAATTGCTTCACATTTAACATATGCATTGATTTGACTGGATTCAGGTCTGTCATTTTGTGATCTGTCTTCTGTCTCATCACTATTGGTATTCTCTTACTGCCTTCTTTCATGTTAAGCAACGGTATTTTTAGTAGACCATTTCAGTTCCTCTAAAATTTGTTAACGGTTGCTATTTACCTTAAGTTTACTTATCTTAGGCTTAAGCTTACCACATCTTTAATTTATCATAGACCACCTCAAGTTAATGTTGACTTATTTCCAATAAAATATTTCTAAGAACTTCATACCACTATGGCTGTTTCCCAGTCTTCTTTGTGCTATGTTTATACATATGTAGTTCATCTATGCGTACTATAAACTCTACAATGCAGTGTTAAAACTTCTTAAATAGTCCTGTTGTTTAAATCAATGGAAAAAAGGGGGAGGATATATCTTTTATATATATCCACATATCTACCAAATGTTCTTCATTCCTCCCTTTGGACATAAGTTATTTCTAGAGTCACTTCTCTTCAGTCTGAAGGAATTCCTTTAGCATTCCTTATGGTGCAGGTCTGCTATTAACAAATTCTCCATTTTGGTTATCTAGAAATACTTTTATGTTGCCTTTGTTTTTAAAGAAGAGTTTCAATGATTATAAAATTCTTGATTGACCAGTTGGTTTTTTTCTCCCCAAAACTGAATATATCATTCCACTGTCTTGTGATATTCATGGTTTATCATGGGAAATACGTCATTAATTATCTTATTTCTCCTGTGTGTGATATACAATTTTTCTCTTGCTTCCTTCAAGATTTTTTTTTCTTTGGCTTTCAGTGACTATGATATGTCTAGGTATGGTTTTGTTTTTTGTATTTGTTTCATATGTATTTATTCCACTCAGGATTTGTTCAGCTTATTGACTATTTTCATATTTTTCATCAAACTTGACAAGTTTTTGATCATAATTTCTTCAAATATTTTTTGTCCTCTTCTCTTTCTCCTTTCACTTTCTGGGATGTCAATTACATGTCTGTTAGAATCTCTGATACTGTACTGTAAATCTTTGAGTCTCTCCTCATCCACTATTTGACAAATATTTTGTTTGTCCTACTGGATACCTTCTACTGATCTTTTTCCAAATTCATTCATTTTTTTTTTCCTAGATACCAAATCTGCTGTTAAGCCTATCTAGTAAATTTTTCATTAGTTATTGCTCTCTTCAGCTCTAGGATTTCTATTTGGTTCTGTTTTATAGTCTCCATTTCTCTGTTGAGCATCTGCATTTGCTTACATATTATTAACATACTTTCCTTACTTCTTGGAATATATTTATGTTTCAAAACATTTATTAAGTCCAACATTTCAGCCACTTAAACATCCACTTTTTTTCTCCCCAAGTCATACTTTTCTGTTTCTTTATATGTCTAATAATTTTGAGTTAAAAATTAGACATTTAAAAAATATGTTGTAGCAACTCTGGATTTTGTTTTGTTCTTCTGAGAGCTGTTATTGCTTTCAGTAAGCAATTAACTTATCTGTAGTCAAACTGGAAAATCTGCCTTCCCTGTCACTGATGTCTCTGCTCAGTGTTATCTTTTTTTTTTTTTTAAAGCCTAAAGCCTTCCCTTGAACTTACATAGCATAGCAGTCAGCAAATGATTTTGGCAGAAATCATGCTCAGATATTTCACAATAGGAATCTTCATCCTCTGCAGCCTGAGATGTATGAGAGTTGAGAAATGCAATCAAAGGCACAATCAATTTGCAAATCTCTCCAGGCTTTCAATGTTCACAGGACTCTGTGGGGTCTCCCATATACCAGTCTAGGATGTATGGTTTATTAACGTTCTTATTATTAAGCTCTTCATAGCTCTCTGGCTTCCAGAATCTCCCCCCTTTAGTTTACAGCTACTCTGTTGTCAGCCCCAAGCCAAGTCTACCACCTCCCACAGGAAAAGCTACAGGTTTCTGCTGTCCAAGCTACACAGGAGGGGAATATCACCAAGCAAGAAAGCCACAAACTATCTGTTTTACTAGGTGCAGGAGTAGTTTTTCATTAACAAAAACTCCTCAAACTGTTGCCTAACTGATGGTTTTCCAATGCCCTGGTATGGTGGTGTTTTTAACAATCTTATACTGTTATATTCTTGCTTTCTGTGGAAAGGAACTATCTGACATTGCTGTCCTGCTATTACCCCAAGATGAAGCCAAAAAGGACTTTCTGACTAACTGGATGTGGATACAAAAGGGAAGTAGTCAAAGATAACTCCGTTTGTGGCTTTTTGCCTAAGCAAGTAGAATGGAGTGGTCCTTTATACTGAAATAGTTAAAGTATGAAGAGGGGAACAGATAAGCAAGGGAAGATCTGAAATTCAGTTTTTGACATATTACATTTGAGATGGCTATTACACATGAAAGTGGATACTCTCATGGTGTTTTAGGGAACCCCTTAATTGGCTGGGAGAAAAAAACTAGATAACCAGTAAGTTTCCTTCAAAAGCTCAGTTTGCATGAGTCCTACACCACAAAGAAGTGGCTCAGTAATATATGTTATCAAAGTTCAGGACAGTAAAAGCTCACCTAAGCATGGGTTGAACAAAGCAAAAGGATTTTAAAAAATGAACATAATTGAGATGAGCAGGCAAGACCACCCCATGCAAAGAAACAGAAAAGGGAATGTGGAAGAGAAGAGCAGGAGAGAGGAAAAAGAAAAATGGGAGATCATACTGGTGTAAAATTTCTCTAAGAACTAGAATAGAAGATAAGAATATATAATGGCAGGTTTAGGCAAAAATAAAAACAAAAAAGGTCATTAAAAAATCTATACAGTCTCTATAAGTGACTATACATGATTACTATCCAAAGAACAGATAAGAACTACATAGAAACTGAAATAGAAATATGGAGAGAGCAGGCTATTAGGAGCAAATGGTAAGACTGAGGACATACTGAGGCAAAGAATGAGAACAGGACTTGCAAGGGGAGATGGACATAGCAGGAAACAATGCAAGCCTTTAGTAAACTCTGCGTATCAGATTACCTATTGATAACAGTTACTACCATATCTCTACGGCACAATATGAAAACATTTTAAAATCTTTTAAATATTTATTTAGTTTTGAGAGAGACAGACAGACAGCATGCGTGGGGGAGGGGCAGAGAGAAAGGGAGACACAGAATTTGAAGCAGATTCCAGGCTCTGAGCTGTCAGCACAGAGCCCAACATGGGGCTTGAATCCACGAAGCATGAGATCATGACCTGAGCTGAATTCAGATGCTCAACCCACGGAGCCTCACAGGCACCCCATATGAAAAATTTTCATGTCTGTGATTTCACATAAACTTCACAACTCCCAGACAACATAGAAACCTAGGATGAGAAGTTCAGTGGATTTCAGATAAAGATTAAGATACATAATAAAAATTTGTTTTAAAAGTCAGTAAGATGCATCAAATATAGAGAAAAGTTTAGTTGCACTTTGGAGAATAGTTTTCTTAGATGAAAGAAGTATGTTAAACTCTGAATATATCCCAAAATTCTTATGTTCAAATCTTAACTTCCAATAATACGATGGTTAAGAGACAGGGCCTTGGGAAGTAATTATTTTGTAACGGTGGAGCCCTCATGATGGAGTTAGTGCCATTAGAAGAGCCACAAGAGAGGTGATCTTTCTCTCCACCAAGGAGAAAATGGCCATCCCTAAACCAGAAGGAGGGTCTTTGCCAAGAACTTGACCATGCTGGCACTGATCTGGGACTCTTAGCCTCCAGAACTGTGAGACATAAATGTCTATTGTTTAAGCCACCCAGTCTATGGTGTTCCAAAAGACCAAACTAAGAAGAAAAAGAGGAAATGTAAGCTAGAAACCGAGAAATAAATATTCCATGGTAAATTAGCAGAAAGACAAGAGGTGGAGGGACTAATCAAGAAATTCTGATCTAGTAAACAAAGAACTAATGAGATGAGAAGTCATGAGACCAGATCATAGTTCTCCTATTGAAAGAAGAGGCCACTTTTTCTTCAGTATCTCAATTTTTTCATCTCATTCACTTCTGAGGATTTTTATAACAAAATTTAAATGCACACTTAAAAAAAAATAAAAGTAGGCATATTCATGACAAAACTAGTAATGCAAAAATCATAAATAATTTAATTATTAAATATACTCATAAGCAAACTAAATTTTCCATGCCGGGTTCTGCCAGCTTCTTATGCATACTACAATTGTAACAATTAAGAGTTTATTAGTGACAATAATAATTGTTATACTCTACCTTTGCAGTCAGGAGTAGGGCTAAAAGAAGGGTTCCTATCACTAACAAAAATATGATGAAAATGCTAATTATTTTGTCTAACATCTTCTCCAACCAGATGATCATCTGCACAGAAACAAAAAAAAGAATTACTTATCTTTCAAGCACAACTTAATAAAAAGGCATACATATTCAAATATTATTAAAAGACAAAATAGGATATTCAGCATTACAAATCAAACTATAGCATAACGATTAAAGCAGTGAAAGCCACAAGCAACTTCAGAAAATTAACAGCATTAATTACTGTTGTTATATAAAGAATGTATTATCGTCCTAAGAAAAGGTCGTCAATTTGAACACAATCTGTATTTAAGTTTGAATTCTCATACAGTGGTATATTTACTTCAAATTCTAATTTAGAATCTGGTAAATATTCTAAATGAAATTTAAAAATTTCCTGGGGCACCTGGGGGGCTTTGTACATTAAGCATCCAACTTTTGATTTTGGCTCAGGTCAAGATCTCACAATTTCAGGAATTCAAGTCCCTGCAGAGCCTGGTTGGGATTCTCCCTTCCTCTCTGCCCCTCCCTTGCTCACACGCTCTCTCAAAATAATAAACTTTAAAAATATATATATTCTAGGGGTGCCTGGGTGGCTCAGTCAGTTAGGCATCTGACTTTGGCTCAGGTCATGATCTCACCGCTCATGAGTTCAAGCCCCGTGTCAGGCCCTGTACTGACAGCTCAGAGCCTGGAGCCTGCTTCAGATTCTGTGTCTCCCTCTCTCTGCCCCTCCCCTGCTCATGCTCTGTCTCTCTCTCAAAAATAAACATTAAAAAAAATTTTTTTTTAATATTCTAAATGAAATAATGAGAATACATTAGCTGACCTCAAATCTCATTAAATTTTACTACCAATCAGCAAATACAGTTAGCTTTAGAAAAAGTATGCCCCTTATAAGACAAGTATGCCCTAAATTATACAGATAAAAGAGGAGCAAACAAAATAGAAATTATATTCAAAATATTTTTCCCTTTGATGTCACTGGGGTTACAAAAATAGTAGTAATAAAAATCTAATGTTAAGGTAGTGATAAATATCAACTTCAGAATATTACAGGGAGTGGTTTGGGCAGGGTGCAAAATGGGCCTTAATTATACACGTAATGTTTTATCAGGCTGGAGGACAGATTCATTGATGATCTCTACATCTTTTTGCATTTGAAAGACTTCATAACCAAATACTTCTTAAATCTGATATTCCATGTGACATTTCCATTCTTTTTAAAACATAAGCTTTAGGACAAACTTACTGTAAATAAAGAATAATCCTGGGGCGCCTGGGTGGCTCAGTCGGTTAAGTGTCCGACTTCGGCTCAGGTCATGATCTCACGGTTTGTGGGTTCGAGCCCTGCACCAGGCTCTGTGCTGACAGCTAGCTCAGAGCCTGGATCCTGTTTCGGATTCTGTGTCTCCCTCTCTCTCTGACCCTCCCCTGTTCATGCTGTCTCTATCTCTCCCTCAAAAATAAATAAAATGTTTAAAAAAAAAAAGAATAATCATTAAGGTAATGGTTATTCCTTAATCAATAATTAAAAGTATTCTCTCCCTAAATGCTACTTGACATTCCATTTTGAATACTTCTCTCATCTTTCACAATCACAAATAATCCTACATCAAAAAAAATTTTAGGATATATAATAATTCTGATAGATATCTAGAATTCCTGCCAAGCAAAGCTGCCATTTAATATTTCAAGAGTCAAATCATTTAGACTGATGGCTACTGAAACCACACAGCACCCCTCACCCCTATGAGAGCTACATCACTGAGAAGTTAGTCTTCATCTAAATCTGAATTATGCTATCCAGTGAGTTAAACACTCAAGAGCAAAGAATGGTAGTTAAAAACAAAACATGACTTCTACCACATTCATTTTCCATTCCATACTATAAGCTTGCATCCCTTTGTCTTTCATGAAAGATATCGTCACTAAGAAATCAATGCTGCAGTGAACTCAAAGATAAAAAGTTCAACTTTATCCTGACCATCACAGCTTCAAACAGAAGAGTTAATTTTCAGTTCATGCTACCAAAGCATCAAAGACAATGTAGAGATTTTTAAAAAGTAGTAACACATTTGTAAGATATGGAAGGTCAGATGTCATATTTGAATGTATGTTCTAAAATCAATGAACTGAAAAGTTTCACAATCAGAAACCAACTCTACACATAGTTCTTGAAACAGCTTCCTGACGAAAGAGTTAGAGCTAGGATTCCTCTTTGTAGTTCCCAAGCCTGGCGGTGCATGCCATGTGGTAAAAGCTCAAATATAGATTTGAACAGGCAAGCATGAATAATTTCAGAATTAAGACCAGATTCATATTCACAAATTACGATTTCAGAAAATAACTTGGGAGCCTCAATTTAAAAAAAAAAAAAAAGTCTATTCTGAAGTATATGTTTTAATGTAAATGATGCCTTACTTAGAAAATATATCTAAATTTATATCTGGGCATTTCTAACATATAAAAACATGGGATATTCACAAACACATTATGTATATCAGCATTACAAAATCCAACTTTTATGTTTTTAAACCAGGGTAGAATTTTCCTATCACAAGCCATTTACCTAAGGGTTGGAAAAAATCCACACTTAGAGGCATCTAAACAAAAATTTATATTCAAGGGTAACAGTGAGGATTAGATGTTTCATTCAAAATTTAAAAGAAATAAAATCATTTAAGATTAAGATGCTCAGGGGCGCCTGGGTGGCTTAGTCGGTTAAGCGCCCGACTTTCGCTTAGGTCATGATCTCACGGTTCGTGGGTTCGAGCCCCGCGTCGGACTCTGTGCTGACTGCCAGCTCAGAGCCTGAAGCCTGTTTCAGAGTCTGTGACTCCCTCTCTCTCTGACCCTCCCCTGCTCACGCTGTCTCTCTCTCTCTCTCCTAGAAATAAATAAAAATATTAAAAAAAAAAAAAGATTAAGATGCTCAATACATTAAGCTAAAAAAGATGGGGGGAGGGGATTTGTCTATTCATATTACAGCCAGCTAAAATAAGGTTAACAAAACAGGATAAAAAGACAGAGAGGTAAAGAGAGAAAGAAGAGTGGGAAGGAGACACAGGGAAAATATTAAAGAGTAAAGGGATATTTTAAAAAAAGTCAGAGGTGCCTGGGTGGCTCGGTCGGTTAAACGTCCGACTTTGGCTCAGGTCATGATCTCACGGTCCACAGGTTCGAGCCGCACTGGGCTCAGTGCTGACAGCTCAGAGCCTGGAGCCTGCTTCCGATTCTGTGTCTCCCTGTCTCTCTGCCCCTCCCCCACTCATGCTCTCTCTCCATCTCTGAAAAATGTTAAAACAATTTTTTTAATAAAAATTTAAAAAGCCAAAATGGGAGGGGGAAAAATGTGTGGCTGGGGGGAATCGGTGCATAGAATGAAGGACCAATAAAAAGGAAACAACAAAGTGGACAGAAGACTTAGACGGAGGAAAAGAACCCCTGGAGTGAATGGAACAAAACTCTCAAGGAAACAGAAACTCAAATACAGAAAAAGAAACACGGGCAGAAGAAGGTACGGAGAAGGGGATGGAGGAGAGAATCCCTGAAGAGACGCCAGAGGCGCTGTCCCAGGAGGCAGACCCTGTCCCGTGCTCAGCTCTGGGCAGCGGAATCCACACCACTTGTTATCACTGCCACCAGCATTACTCTGCCTGCCCACTGAAATCACTCAGTCCCCGGTGATTCCCTCAGTCTTCCACATTCTGAGAAATTATTTTTTTTAAAAATTATTTTCTTAAAGGGGAAGGGGACTCATTTTAAAATGACATTCTGAGTGGTTCAAGTGTGAATAAAGGACATTTATTTATTTATTTATTTATTCATTTTAATTTAGAGGTGTCAGTAAATGTATGGTTATACTTCAAGACTTTGAAAATTCCAAACTGGAATTTTTTATATAGCAGGCTATTATTAAGAAAGTATCGTTCCACTGCTGAATTTTCTATTTCATTATTCTGCGCCTGTAGACTTCTATTTCACCTTCTTTTTTTTGCCAAATTGTAGTTGAGGTTTAGTGCAGATAATCAATACCACGAAATAAAACAAGCCCTGAGAAATACGTTATGTTTCAATTAACCACAGATGTGTTCTCTCTCACCTCACTTCTCTTGAATTCATTTCCTACTCACCTCACTTGAACCTGAAATACCAAATACCCAGTGCTTCAAATTTTCTGGCCGTGGATGTATTGTAATAAAGTAGATATCAACTTACTTATATGCTTTCCTCAAACGTGTAGTTTCAGACCTTAAAGCACTTACTTCTGCTCGACACCAATGCTTTACCTATGCTACACAGCATCATCAAAGAAAAGGAAAACGTCACCTGATCTCTTAGGAAGCTTTTAAAACTGAGTCACTACTAGTTAGCTAGGAGTTAGGCTTCTAAATTAGGTAATCCAATTCATGTAGGCACCAAAGGTTAAATCAAATTGAACCTAATGACTTTAACTCTCCTTCCTCTCATCCCTTGAGGACAATTTCAGTATCACAAGTTGGAGAAGTGTTTAAAAACCACCTACTTTGCTCAAAATGAAAAAATGTGACTTTTGTTTGCAGCACTATCATTTGCTAAGGATTAAACTCATTTAATCATATTAGTTTTACAGGGAATGGAGGTATAGACAGCAGCATATATGTTGGGGGTGGCATGGGAAGGGTGGTTTGTAAGTATATTTTACACAGTGTTTATTACACATGTTTAGGCATTGTCAAGTCTCCCCTTTCTTCTACAACTGAAAGAAGGAAATCCTGGGGCACCTGAGTGGTTCCAGTAGGTTAAGTGTCCAACTATTGGTCTCGGCTCAGGTCATGATCTCATGGTTACTGAGTTCAAGCCCTGCGTCAGCCCTCTATGCTGACAAAGCACAGTCTGCTTGGAATTCTCTCTCTCTCTCTCTCTCTCTCTCTCTCTCTCTCTCTCTCTCTCTGTCTCCCTCACTCTCCTCTGCTCCTCCTCACTCTCTCTCTAAGTAAATAAACATTTAAAAAATAAAGAAGGAAATCCTAATCTTTACACTCAAAAATGTCACCTTGATCTATTTCCAAGAAGTACATCTTTCTTAAGACCTGCTCTAATATTTCCACTGAAAAATTTTAGGGTCTTGTGTTTAAACACAATACACATAAATGTCATCTCCTGCTATCTGTCCTAGAGATTTGATGAATTTAAATCTAGAACTACTAAATGTGGACATGTCAGAGGTACAGCCTCCTAATTTATCTGGATTAGCCTTTATCGAAGTCATTAAGAGTGTAACCTATTCCATTCAAATCATGAGAAGCATTTACTATATATACATACAACCTCATACTTGGGAAATACATGAAATTAGATGTCACAGGCCATGACCACAATCTTTTTTAAGTTAAAAATGAAATTCTGGAATACTAGTTATTAAAGAGAGAGAGAGAGAGAGAGAGGGAGAGAGGCACTATATAAAATTATCAGCCAAGTGAATCAAATATTCTCACACATCAAAGAACAGAGTTATCAGGCTGGGCCACATTACAGAACCGTAAAGGAAGGGTAATCACTTACAGTGGACAAAAGGACTACAAGACAGACTTCTTACACACACCTGGGCAAGGAGATAGCATCCAGGTATCCTAAACAAATAGCTTTGGGTGTTTAGCAAATTGTACTGTAACAGTATTAATGCTTCACGACCTTCCATAGCTTATTAATTTGAACTTTTAAAAAGCATAAACTAAGTTTGACATATGGACAGAAACAGAATGAGAATGGAGATACAGGGGGAATTCAGTAGTAAAAACCAACATCCATGTGTTCATTTACCTTCTTATTTAGCCAGTGCCAGAGCTTGAAGACAGGGGGTAAGGTAAGAAAGAGAAGATAAGAACAGTGGAATATCATTAGAGAATGCCATAACAGTATGAAAAGAAAAGAAAGTCACCGAGAATATGAGGAGGAAATAATCCCAGACCAAAAAACAAAAACAAAACAAAACAAAACAAAAAACTAGAAAAATAACTGTAATGCATTAACAAAGTTTTAAAATCCGTGAATAAAGTATTCCTTTAAGACATATGATGACTGAAATAACCACAAGCTTTGCTGACAATTCAACAATTAAAAATACATAAACTAACCTGAATGCTTGACAGCTTAAACAGTCACATCAAATTCTGAAGATCAGAGTAGTATTTAAGATTCTTTCACAAATCATGCAACAAAAGGATTTTTAGTCTCTGTATAAATTAATTCATGTTCATATACTATGTGTTCACTGAATTCCTAGCTTTACAGTATTAATTATTTCATCTTTTTTTTTTTAAGCAGTAAAACATTCCAGTGCTCATCTGGGACAGCAAACACCTGACCATCTAAGATTCTGTTTATGTTGGGTGTATTTCCTTCCAACTTAATTTTTTAAGCACACATCTTTCTACTTTCTGTAAAATTCTTTCTTTCACGTAACAGTCACCTCATCTAAACCTCACAATATTTAGCACTATAATAACTAATGCTAGTTGAACACATAATCTAAAAATCACTGAACATAATAGGATTTAAGGCATTATTAGTGACCTAAAAAGTATTAAGGCTAAAAAGCATAATTTCATCAGAGTAACTGTAAATACTCCTTGCAGAGTTTTGACAGAGGTACACCCAATGCATGTTTAAAAATATACTTCAAACAATCTCCTACAGAGGAATATTTTTAAAAACACTAGTATGATCAATTAAAATTTAACAGAAACATGAAAAAGAGATTTATTCCCCAAAGCAGCAGCCCATGTATATTATTATATTAAATAAAATGTAATTACAGCATCAGTTATAATTAAACAAATATTCAGTTTGTGATAGCCATTTACCCTGATAGGTTTTATCATATATAGCCAAAAACCGTAGTTTTATTTATTTTACTGTCTCCCTTCCTTTGTAAGATGAACAAATTGACAAGTTTGAATAAAAAATGACAAGTTTTTACAAGGCTACTCTATAACAAATAGATGCCCTAAAACTTCACTTGACACAATTGCAGTTTTCCTAAGAGAAGGGTTCCAAATACAAGTATATGGGATTCTAAAAACAAGATTTAGTGTCTATCCCTTCTGATAGTGGTAAGGCTTTCAAAAGTTAACTGAAATAAGAGTCATCTTAAAACAGTCTGAAGGACTATATCTGCTCTAGTAAGGCAAGCCTTCAACCCAACTCCAGGAAGATGTGATCAATATGTTAAAATTTGTGAGAACTCTTAGATTCTTTCTTATTTGAAAAGTTGAAAGAAGAATACAAATAGGCAAATCACAAGAAAAATATAGCCAAATAAGCAATCTCATTTTTATTTTTTAAAATTTCGAATTAAAACAACACTGAGATACTTCTTTTTCTGAAACTAAAAAGGACTTTTTGTTACATTATAGTATCTAGTATTGGCAACAGTTCAGGAAATGGGCATTCTCATATGCTGCACTGGTAGGAATTAGAACTAGCAAACTCTGGAAGACAGAAAGGCAATACATAAGAAAATGTATCTCCCTACACCTCTATTGACCCAGATTTTACTATGGGTTTAAAAGATTTATTTCCTTCCACCCCACATGAACTCCAGTGATTATTCTCATCCCTATCTATGCTGGTTTCACCTAACAGTATTTCTCAACCCGAAGTTAGGCATGGACCCGCTCAGACAGAGTTCCTAGCCTCTGTGAGGAAGTCCAGCTCACACGCACAGAACCCACAAAGGCTTCAATTCTGCCTCGCCTGACTCTCCAGCCTCACCTCTTCGCATATCCCAGCCATGACTGTTTTCTTGGTGTTCCCTATTAATTCATGCTGTGGCCGTCTCTACCTGTGCACTGCTCCACCCACCTGTTCTTCTTGCCCTGTCAACATAATAAACCCCTATTTACACTTCAAAATATGCTCCGGCATCACCTCTTCTGCAAAATCTCCCTTCTCCCACTACCTCACCAACAGCGAGTCCTTTCTTGCTCAGTATGACCACTGTATTCTGTACACACATCCCCCTCGCCCCCCAGTTACAACCACAGCTATCATATACACAGAGCTTACGGTATACCGGGCCCTGATCTAGGAACTCACTTAACCCTCACAGCCATTCTATGAGGTGTATTCTATTAGATTTATCATATCAATAAGGAAACCAAGGCATAGAAAGGTTAAGAAACTCATTCAAGGTCACAGAGCTAGTAAGTAGAAGACCTGGGATCTGAAACCAGTGTGGAATCAGGGTCCATACTCTCGAACACTGCCTCTGAATTTTAATGGATTGCGGTCTCTCATGCTGCACCAGTTTTCTGTGATTCACTGGATTTTCCTGGGGACTTATTAGCACATTATCTGACCTGTGGCAATTACTCCAGAAATACTCACTGCGCTGAGGAGTCATTACCTGGCAATACAATTGTAGGCAAGTCACTTAGTCCCTCTAAATTTCAATTTGGTCCTTATAAAATGAGGGAGTTGAACAAGGTGTTGTAGAACATCCTTTTCTCCCATTTTTAAGAGGGAAAACTACTGACACAATACTTACTTAAACTAAATCTATCCTAAACTTACATAAGGCGTAATTCGACACTTTAAATTTCATTATACATTTAGACGTTAAATGTGTTATCAACAATCACAGTATGAACACCAAATACCAAGAAATGTAATATATGTATTATAAACTCCATCAAAACAGCCCAAGTTCTTAAAACACAATACCTTGCTATCAACTTTTAGCAAGAATTTTCCAAGCCCAATAACGGGCCACGGTGCTAGAGCCTCCTGCCGCTCCTTGAGGAAGCGCTCCGCCACCTGCCACCACAGGTGGCAGCGTTTCGCCAGGAAGTCCACGACTCCAAAGTGAATGACAAGCTTTTTGAGAATCCAGACTATAACGAAGAAGTGCATATAAAACCAAAATATAGATTACAAAGTCAGAACATGAACAGGTCCTTTAATTTCATGTGACCCTTCTAAAACAGTGAAGTTAATATTAAATAAAGACCAATTAAGAAAGAAAAAAAAAAAAAGGCCAGGGGGAGACACGAAAGTTCATGGTATTCCAAATGCATGGAATTAGGACAAAACTTTTCACACAAATCCCGCCTGCCCATATACTATCTCTATTGTGAAGTCTGAATTCCTGAAGGAGCCAGGGATTATTTCAAAGCCCGTGTAAACATAAAACTCTGATCATGAAGATTTTGGGGCAACAATCTTGGCCCCTCACACCTCACCCTTCTTGGGTAAAAAATACTAACCCCTGACACGCCCTAATTTCCTTGGCTATTATCACTGCTCTTGCCAAATGTTATTCTTTTCCTTGGTGTTTAATGTTTAGTGACCAGAAAAATAGAAGGTATTCCATTTGCATCATGATTTTACACCACTGGTATTCCTATTTCTCTACTTGATGTTGCTCTGCACACCTGTATCGCTTAGCAGAGTTCAGTGGGTACAGGCAGGGCTGTTACAAGTGGCCCCCCAGGCTGTGCACTGCACAACTTCTGCACAGACCACTCACAGAGCGCAGGTATGCGTGTACCCCTCCACACTGGGCAGCGAGGCGGCCCTGCAAACAGAGGTTAAGCTTCCTGTTAAAAGCCAACTAAGAATGTGGTGGAGCCAGAAGAAAGTGCTACTCATCTGTGGAGTGGCCTTGAAGTCTGAACTCTGGATAATCGATCTCAACTACTATACTTTCACTAACTCCAGGGATTTCTGTGTCCTCAGTCCTGGCCTTGCAACCTAATGATTCAGTTTACTCTTTTGAACCATGAGCTCAGTGTTACAAACCAGTTCAACAACTTCATCATTAACATTTTTAAATCTCTAAAGAAGTCCTAGGAAAGCTTCTACGGTCTCTAAAATAAGGCCAGGGTAATTATAGGCTGTGGAAAATGTTCTGGGGGCCACGTGCCCACAGCTTGCTCTCCCAAGGACATGTCAAATTCCTATAATGGCCTGAAGGTTAAGAAATGACTAGGACAAATGGAACTCCTGCTAACAATTGTTAAAGAAAGGGGTTCCAACAGCACCAGACACCATTTGGCAGCATAAATAAATCTCCTGGAAAAACCAAAAAAGTACGGGGTTCTTTTGAAATTTAACCTTTTTCACTAAGCTTTCTTATAAATTCCTTAACAGAAAGCATGGCTCTAGTATATACTCTGCGGCTTGCTTAGTGACAACTGCTATCTTACTCCAAGTGCCAAAGAGAAGTTCTGTTCAAGGATGCAAGGAGCAGAAACAAGCTTATATTATATTCTACGTTCCCTAAGGAAAAGCACTATATAGTGTTTTGGTTATAACAAATCCTTAATAAAGAAGTTGTGGGGGTGGGGCGCAGTGCCTGGGTGGCTCAGTCAGTTAAGCGTCCAACTCTTGGCTTTAGCTCAGGTCATGACCTCACGTTTCATGGGTTCAAGCCCTGTGTCAGGCTCCATGCTGATAGCACAGAGTCTGCTTGGGATTCCCTCTGTTCCTTTCTCTCTGGCCCTCCCCTTCTCGCACTCTCTCTCAAAATAAATAAATAAATAAACTTTGAAAAAATAAAAAGATTAAAAAATAAAACTGAAAGAACTGTCCAAGTTAATGAGAATAATAAGTTCTCATTAATCATCTCACTAATGATCTAGAAGGCATATGGTCCAATGAGTTTAGATTTTTAAACTGTGGTGGAAAACAGGCTTCCAAAAATCAAATTATGTTTATATCAATAGTGAAGAACTTTGATAAAGGAGAAAGAATTAATCAAATTTAGGAGGTATCTAGATGGCAGGATCCTAAGCATCAACTGAGGACTTAATAAATTTGGCCAAGCTGCTGACTGTGGTAAGACATAAGCCCAAACAATCGGGAAGGTATGAAATAAAAAAACTCTTCCACAAAAACCAGAGTCACTTACTTTTCCAAGCTTAAATACAGCTTTAAATATACAATTGTTTTATTTTTTAAAAAAGAGTAATATTACTCAAATACTAAAATCTAAAAGCTAGGGGTGCTTGGGTGGCTCAGTCGGCTGAGCGTCTGACTTTGGCTCAGGTCATGATCTCACAGTTCGTGAGTCTGGGCCCTGCATCAGGCTCGACGCTTTCAGCACAGAGCCTGCTTGGGATCCTCTGTCCCCCTCTCCCTGACCCTCCCTCACTAACTCACTCTTTCTCAAAAATAAACATTTACCAAAAAAAATTAATTAGTTAATTAATTAAAATCCCAAAGTTAAAGAAAAAGTCTTCAGAGACCAGACCCTAAGTGTGTAACTACCTGCAACAGGCACTGGCAGCAACTGTACAATCCACAGGTTCAACCAGAGCTGGACACCAATGATGGCCCACACGAGCGACACGAAGTAGATGTCACTGGTTTTCTTCTTCCTGAGAAAAGTTCCCATTTCAGCTCTTTGTCTGCCCAGAGTGGGTGAGGGGGAAGAAGGTGAAGGAGATGAGGACAGTGGTGGGGGTGGTTCTCCTCTGTCCATGGTTTCTGAAGAGAGGGAAAAAAGTTACCACCATATTAGTCCACATTAGCTGACAGTCCCACAGAGCAATTCACCAGGCTACTCTGTTTTAAGGCTGCAAATGGACTCTGATAGTATGATTACACTGGATTAAAGAAAATAAAGAATCTGGAGTGTGTTTACATATGCACTGAAAAATGTGTGAAGAATTATACTACTGACCCTATTTAAATCTAGGGAAATTAAGTTTGTTAGGGGGATGGGGATGGGGTTGGGGATGGGGAATTTTTTTTATTCTTTATACACTTCACATTGTTCAAGGTTTAATGACATCTATATCATATATTCATATACATATATCATATAAATGAAAAGGTAAGGAAAAAATGACAAAAGAGCTAAGAATTATAATTAGCTCATGAAAACTACTTAAACTGTATAAAACAAATATTAACATACAGAAGTCCTACATTTGGAAATTTCTCTTTTAACATAATTTTATTAGATGTGTAATATTTCTGATACAACATGGCTTTTCAGTGTCGTTTCAACTAAAACAGAGCCAACTGCTCTTGCAAGAAAAACCCAGGGCTTTGAAACAGGTCCTTCTCTTAGAATGAAAAATAAAACATGTCTTTCTCTTAGAATGAGAAATTAGAAAGAGATTGCTGGGGGTGAGGATTCAAGTAATGGTGATTACACTGCATTATTTCCCATAAGGCACTGTTTTCTAACAAAGCAACTACTAAGTTATATTTTACTATAGGGTTATTTTTCTATTTCCTAATTTTACCAAAATATACCATATACCTCAGAAATCATATAACTCTTAAAGCAATATTATTCAGTATATGCCATGATGATGGAAATTATTAAGACCCTACAATTTGCATTTTGCCTTCCATAAAAAAAGCTAATGACAAAAGTAGACTGGGGCACCAAGGTGGCTCAGCTGGTTAAGCACTGGACTCTTGATCTGGGCTCAGGTCATTAACTCACAGTACGTGAATTCAAGCCCCAATTTGGGCTCTATAGAGCTGAGGGTGCAGAGCCACTCTCTCTCTGGCCCTCCCCCTCATGCTCATGTACGCTCTCTCTTAAAATAAACAAACATTTAAAAAGTAGATATTTCATAAAGTCTAGAAAAGTGAGTGGGAAAAGGAAGGAAGGAAGGAAGGAAGGAAGGAAGGAAGGAAGGAAGGAAGGAAGGAAAGGAAGGAAGGAAGGAAGGAAGGAAGGAAGGAAGGAAGGAAGGAAGGAAGGAAAG